TCCAATACATGAGCCTATGGGGAGACACTTCTCCTTCAAGTCACCACAGCATGTGACACATGGAAGGTGCTTTGTAAATGTCCCCTTCTCACTTTTTTTCCCTCTGTTAACATTGTTATGTGTTCTAAACTGCTAGCCTGTAATTTTTCCTAACAACCCTGTGAACAAACCTAAGATGTAGGAATTTTTATGTAACTGTTAGTATTATTCTTTTGTTCCTTTTACGTATTTACTCTTCCCTCAAACCATCTCTGGCATACATATTCAAATACTAGCTATTTTGGATTAGAATGATGTGCATGAAGAACATTAGGATAAGATGAATGACTTTTTTGAAGTTTCTGCTTGAAATGCTGGGAATATAGCTCAGTGGTAAAATGCTTGCTTAGAAAGTGTGACGCTTTTAGTTCAATTCCCAGCACTGCTTAAAAGTTAGATTATGCTTAGCCTATTATGTATTTGAAATTCCAAATTATTTTGTACTATATAGGAATGGTATAAATACCATGGCCTGGATGAAATACTTAACATACAATATTTCATTTAATCCTCACAACAGTTATAAGGAGGATTTACCTTTATTTTATAGAGGAAGGAGTCTGACAAATAAAATAGCATAGTCACAGTTATGCAATAGAGGGTGGCAGAGCTGGGATCAGAACCAGGTCTGCTTTAAAATGTATACTTTTGCCTACTTTAGAGGAAAACATTTCTGATAGAATTTACAGCATTGTTTTGCCAGGATATGGGATTCACAGTATGAGTGCCTATTTATCAGCCTTGGAAATACTATACAATCACAAGATCCTACTTCCTGGAGCCTCTGAGTATGTTACCTTTCATGACCAAAGAGAGTTGGTGTATAATTAAGGTAAAGAAGAGCTTGAGATAGGAGGATTACTTTAGATTTCCTGGTAGGTTCAATTGAATCTTAGGAGAACAAGCAAGGGGTGGAGGGGGGCAATAGGCAGGGAGTTTGCATATGAGACAGGCCTGAAAGCTACTTGGGAAGGTAGCAAAAGGGAGTCTTGTGGCCTCCCCAGGTGTGTGATTCTATCTGCACCCTGTTTGGCTTCCTGAAATCCATTGAACTTGTGGGATAACATCTTACAAATGAGCAACAAACTAAGACATGTAGGATATCAACATTCCTAGTTCTTTAATTTCTAGGGAGATCTTTATTCTGCCTTCACATTTGATAACTGAACTGAAGATGTCAAATTCCAGGTTCAAAAGCATTTTCTCTCTGAACTTTGAAAATAATACTTCATCTTCCTCTCCATGCTAACGAAGTGTCTGATGCCACTTCTGATCCATGTTACTCCTCTGTAACAATGTTTCCCCTCAGAGCTTTTAAGGTTTTCTCTATGACTTCTAAAGTTTAAAATTGTCATAAATATGTGTCAGGTTGTTGGCTTTAAAAGGTTTTGCTTGCTAGAAATTGGCCATGAGTGTTTTCATTGTAGGGGAAGCTGCTTCTCTTCATTGTGTGTTTATGTCTCTCCAGAAACCCATCAGGTAGCTACTGCCCATATATGTCTTTACCCTCTACTCTCTGACTCTGTCATTTTGTGTTTTCAGAGCTTTTAGGCTACTGTGCATACCTCTCTTTTATTTTTATCTTATTTTTATATTTTTTCATTTTCTTTTATATCTATGAGTATATTACCCGCATGTATGTTAAGTGCACCTGTGTTGTGCAATGCCCCAGGAAGTCAGAAGAGGGCATTGGGTCCCCTGGAACTGCAGTTACAGACATTGTTAGCTGTGTGCATGCTGGAACCAAACCTAGGCCTTCTTCTAGAGCCGCAGAGGTTTTAACTGCTGAGCCATCTGTCCAGCGGTAGGACATGGAATTCTTCAAAACCTCAAATCTGCTCATAGCCCCCTTCTTGTAGGAAAACAGTAGTTTAGTCTTAAATGACTTATCATTTTAAGAAATTTAAAAGAGAAGATAAATAAAAGAGGGTATCACTGTGTAGCACAGGCTGAATAAAATTTTGTCATGTTTTACATATAAAATATAATATTTTCTGAAATGATTAATCTTTTTAAAAAGTGTTAGGTTGATCAGCCAGATGTGGTACCGGAAAACCGAGAAGATTAAGATATTATGCAGGGGGGCGGGTAGGGAAGCAGCGCCGGCAAGCTCTGGAGGCGAGGCTCGCGCGCCCGCCCCCTGCCTGGCCCCAGCGCCCACCCGGTCGGCCCGGCTCAGCCATGATCAAGGCCATTCTCATCTTCAACAACCACGAGAAGCCGCGGCTCTCCAAGTTCTACCAGCCTTACAGTGAAGATACACAGCAGCAGATCATCAGGGAGACATTCCACTTGGTGTCTAAGAGAGATGAAAATGTTTGTAATTTCCTAGAAGGAGGATTATTAATTGGAGGATCTGACAACAAACTGATTTATAGGCATTATGCAACGCTCTATTTTGTCTTCTGTGTGGACTCCTCAGAAAGTGAACTTGGCATTTTAGATCTAATTCAAGTAAGTTAAGAGTTGCATCTTAGTTTTCAACAAGATTTGCAATTATGTTTTTAAAAACTTATATGATTAAAATTTCTAAAATGATATTTTGTTTGATAAGATTTAAATGTCCCCCCCCCCTTTTTTTTTGGTCTTTTTGAGA